GAAGAAGAAGAAGAAGAAGAAAGGAAGGAGGAAGAAGGAAGGAGGAAGAAGGAAGAAGAAGAAGAAGAAGAAGAAAGGAAGGAGGAAGAAGGAAGAAGAAGAAGAGGGAGGAGAAGAAAAGGGAGGAGAAGAAGAGGGAGGAGAAGAAGAGGGAGGAGGAGGAGGAGGAGGAGACTAAGAAGAGACTATCACGTTTTTCGAGTCCCCGGAATAGAATCTACGGTCATTATCGCCGTATTTAGAATGGAAGTTGGCCCAAATACATGCATAATTACGGTTCTAATGAGTCTGACGGTGGCGATTCTCTCTGTTTTGTCTGTGGCTTTCTCTCTCTTTGTTTTTTTTTTTGGTGTTTGTTTGTTTGAAAATGGTGGTTGTCGGAGACAGATGTTTGCGCTAGTTTGTAGGGTGGAGAAGCTATTGAGAAATAGATACACTGTGAGAGGGTTTTGGATGGCTGGAAGAAGGCTGTTTGAAATCATGGAGGCGGTCGCAGAGTCGCCCAGCGAGAAAAAGCAAGTGCGAACTTTCGCTCAGAAGGCACAAGAGTTCCTTGGCGAGGCAGAAGCGATGGAGGAACGGCAGGCCGATCGAGCATCCACCTCCTCCTCCTCCTCACCATCATCATCATTGGGTGAGTAGCTTGTAGCCTTTCTTTTCCTTTCTTCTTTCCTTGTGTTTTTTCCTCTGATATCTTCTGCCTCCTTTGGTGAGTCTTGTTTTGCGCTTCTTTCCGCCTTCTTCGTGTATCCTCCTCCTCCTCCTCCTCCTCCTCCCTCTTCTTCTCCTCCTTGGGTGGTCGCCTGTGGGTTTTCCTTCCATCCTTTTTTTTGTTCTTTGTTTATCTGATTTCCCCCTCCTCTGGTGAGTTCTTTTTTGCGTTCCTTCTCTCCCTTCTTTCTTTACTTTCCCCCGCCTCCTCCTCCTCCCCCTCCCTCTCTGTCTCTTCACTCTCCCTCCTCCTCCCCCTCCCTCTCTGTCTCTTCACTCTCCCCTCCTCCTCCCCCCTCGTCCTCCTATGGCGAGTCCTGCATGGACAGTCTTTGTCTTTTCCCTTTCCGTCCACCTGGGGCGAGGGCACACTAGTAGCGAAGAGGATTGGATTAAGCGCCGGAATTTGGGTGAGTTTTCTGCAGAGATGCAGAGAAGGAGAGCAATCGGGATTTTGTGCACCTCTCAACGAAGACGTCCAGATTCTGGTGTTAAGTCCATTCCTCTTTCCCGAGTCCTGCATGGACAGTCTTTGTCTTTTCCCTTTCCGTCCACCTGGGGCGAGGGCACACTAGGAGCGAAGAGGATTGGATTAAGCGCCGGAATTTGGGCGAGTTTTCTGCAGAGATGCAGAGAAGGAGAGCAATCGGGATTTTGTGCACCTCTCCACGAAGACGTCCAGATTCAGGTGTTAAGTCCATTCCTCTTTCCCAGTGGGATTTCACGCCTGTCGTCTTGGGGGCGACTTCTGATGGGCATCTCAAACAAACGATCGATGCCCATCACAGCCGCTTTTTTTTTTTTTTTTTTTAAATCACGGCGAGCATCAAAATAATAGAATACCGTCTTAGATTTGGAACAATTAAGAAATAAAAGAAAATCTGTGGATTTCAGAATTATGATCATCTCATGGACAAAAGAAGCAGAGGGATGAGCACTACCGTCTTCACCCGAATAGAGCGCCCGGTAATTGTCTCTGTATGTAGGCTGAAAGTGGGCGAAATGCAGCTGAAATGACCGGGCGTTCTATTCGGGTGAAGACGATAGGAGTGATATGATGAGATAGTGATATGAAAGAAGCAAGGAGTTACCTAAGGGAAGGACAAGGCCTTTTTTTTCTGTTTTTTTATTAATTTTAATACAAAGAAAAGGTGGGTTTTAGAACATTGTAGGTGGTCTTTGGGAAAATATGGATCTGCTGTAATCAAGTATTTTTCTTCTGTCTGAAATGGGTGTTGGCCCTGTTGGGGGATGATGATATTTATGATTGGGAATTGAGAAAAAAGAGGGAAAAAATAAGGGCGATGGCGTTCAGATATCACTGTAGAACTGACCGGTCTCAGGTGATTCAGAATGCTTTCATTTCATTCATCTAGTTCATCTGGATTCAAACTCTTTTTTTTTTTTGTTTCCCTTCTTCTTCTTCTTCTTCTTCTTCTTCTTCTTCAAACACAGCTCCATCTATTGGTTGGTGGCCTGGATTTGAACTCAGGTCTGTATTTCAAAAATTTGTGGGTGTATAAAGTACTCTCAACTGGGCTAGGCCTGTTGGTGATAATGGTTTGGGAAAGATGGATCTGCTGCTGTGGTTTAATGTCTTCTGACTCTTCTTTCTTTCTTTTTTTTTCCTTTTTTTTTCCCCCTTTTTGGAAAACGGGTGTTGACGGATGATGATATTGAATTGGCGTTCTGTGTGAAACCGCAGCAGCGCACGGCAGGCCTCAGCCCTTTCTATTCGAAGGACAGCTGTCTCAGCCGGAGCCGCCGCCGCCTGCGACGACTCCGGTCCTTGCATCGTTGTCGGCTATGGGTGGAGGGGGAATGGAATCGGAAACGTTGATCGCAGCATTGGCTTGGTTCGTTGCGGAGAACACGCCGACATCTGACGTCGCATTCTCACTCGGTGAACAACCTCGCGGCCAACCCTCTCAAGGAGGTGCTGTCGGGCGCATGGGCGAGAGAAATGCAGCCGTTGGTGGCAATGACGATCAACGGGGAGGTGACGACCAGGAGTCCACCGTCCAGCTTCATGAAAGGAACCAAGATGAAGGAGGGCAGTCGGATGACATGGTGATCGATCGAGCGCCGGAAAGCACGGGTGCGACAAGCGTTGAAGAGTTGGACTTGAGAGACGGAGATGGCACTAGTGCAATGACTGATCAAAGAGAAGTTGTTCAAGTACATGTTGCGGCCGAGGACGGCGATATCGAGGCGTTCCGGGAGAATGGTCAGGGGGGTGACTTGGGTGGAAGGGCGTCGTTCGTCTTGGGGCTGAGTGCTGAAAGGATGGAAGATGTGCAAGAGCATGTCCAGGTGCGGCAGTCGGGAGTCGATATGGACCGAGATGGTGAGAGACGAGGTTTGGAAAGCGGAAGACGAGAAGAGCGAGGAGGAGGAGGAGGAGGAGGAGGAGGAGGAGGAGGAGGAGAGGGAGAAGCGAGAGCGGCGGATGACATCGAGAGCGCGGAGGTTGATGATTCAAGCGATGAAGACGAGGGGGGGGAGGGGAGAGGTGGTGAGCAGGAGGGAAGAGGCGAGCGAGCGCAAGAGACTGAGTCGGAGAGGATGCCGACATCTAGTGCCGAGGAGAGAGAGGCTGTGAGAGAGGAGTATAGGAGGTTGTTTCTGCAGAGGGCACGTGGCAATCCCGAGGATGCCGATGGGGTTGGAGACGGCAATTTCGGGGCCGGTTACATTCCGTCTTTGCTGCGGCTTCTGAGAGAAGGATTGATGCGCATATCCTCGGATGACCTGGATGACGTCCTCAGGCAAACCATTATTGAGGCAGAAGCTATGGAGACGGGACCACCACCTGCTTCCAAGGAAGAGGTCGATAAACTCCCGGTTCAAGAGCTAACCGAGGAGATGAAGAAGAACCTCGCGGAACCTGAATGCCCAGTATGCCGCGAAGATTTTGCCGTTGGAGATTCGATCCGGTACATGCCGTGCAAGCATTATTTCCACCCAGCTTGCTTGCAGCCGTGGCTGGTAAGTTCGATAATAAATTAAATTAATTAATAATATATCCGCTCGGTGAACCGCTGGGTGATCGATGCATATTCGCGGCCTGGGTTGTTTTAAGGTTTTGTGATCGTTTGTCGTCTTTTCCATTTTTGTTTCTCGTCTTTTCCTTGTTTCTAGAGTGACGGCCTTCTTGCGATAATCGTGTCGTCGAATTGACCAGCCCTTGGTATCGTGAATCGTAGTACCGATTTGGTGGTTTGTTAGAGGCACTGATCTATAGATGTTTTGTTGAGATTCGAGAGATTGATTGATGAGCTGATTATAAAGATCATTAATCGTCGATGTTCTAGTTGCTTTAGTGATTGCTCATGGATTGGTGCTTTGTTGAATAGAGAGTCTTGGTTGGTAATGGTTGATGGGCATAAGTGAGAGTGGGGTTGGTATGCTGAAAACTGTCTGACTTTTTTTTTTTTTTTTTTTTTTTTTTTTTTTTTTAACTTCTGTTGGATGGGACGGAAGTCACCATTTAAAAAAAATATATTTAATCTGGTTAATATGCGAACCAGGCAGGTATCCTGAAGTATCCGGACATTGATCTGGAAAGTCATTTCTGCATCGCTACGATGTGGACATCTGGATCCCAATGTGGATGGTCTGGGTCCGGATGGCCGGGTCTGCTGTCCAGTCGGGAGCGTCGGGATCCTGCCTCCCGCTACTGGCTCCCATCCGATCTGAGCGATGCATCTGATTCTCGTTTTTTTTTTTTTTTCTTTTCTCTTTGTTGCAGGACAAGCACAATTCGTGTCCCATCTGTCGGTTTGAGATGCGAACGGACGACGAGGATTATGAGCGGCGGAAGGAGAGGGAAAAACAGGAACAAGAGGAGCGGCGAGGAGTGGAGAATGCGCTGCCCGAGGCTGAGTTCATGTACATGTGAATTCGAATCCCATAACCTCCTTTTAAAAAAATCAGTGGAGCTGCGACGGAGGCATGCTGCGCTGTTTGCCTGTGTGCGTCGAAAGTCATATATGGAAGGCCATACTCAGGCTTTGCGCTTTTCATATATATCGTCAAACAGAGCTGCCTCGTAAACTGTAGGCAGAGAGGGAGGGAGAAGAGGACAACAAACGAGGGGCTGTGACAAAAAACTGTTTCGTCGTCGGAGTTTCACCGACTACGTATCTGATTGCAATTGCGGCCAGAGCTGGCTGCACCTGACTGCAATTATGTCCAGACACACAAGTTGACAAATTTCTAGTGTGTGTGTGTGCTCTGAGTGCGCCCTCAGCGCTGGTTCCGTGGGCTCTCTGGTTTGCGAAGAGGGGCAGAGCTGTGACCCCCAAACTGACTGTTAAACACGACCAGTTCACACGGGCCTAAATTGACGAAGCTACCTTCCAAGGCTCGTGAGCAGGCAACTGTGCGCGCACTTTTCTAAGTGGCCTGCCACTTCAGCTACGGGCCCACGTATACCTTCCAGAGCTGTACTCTGCTTCGGGAGAACGGGCAGTTCGGGAGCTCGGGAGGGAGTCGGTTGGCGAGTTCATTGTTCGGTTTGGAACACGGCAGTGCAAGGAGCGGCGGAGTTTCCAGTTTGCGCCCGAGGACCAAAAGACGAAATAATCGATAAAATCAACAAGGATAGATGAGGACAACAGTGATTTTATTAGAGAGGATGAGGGAGATGACGGATGTCGGTGTTTGCTTTTCGACTGACGGTAGGGGGGGGAGGGGGGAGAGAGAGGGTTGGCAAGGTCTGAGGCCATCGACAGACGAGACGAGGCGTCAATTGTATGTCGTCGTGGACGGAAGAGAACGTCTGTCTTCAATCTCAAGCTGTTGAGGCAAGGGGCCGAGCGCTCGATCACAATCTAGTATCTAGTGACGGCGGCAGAGACTATTGCAAGCGCTCTTGGCAGAAGAGAGAGGGGAGAGGAGAGGTCTGTTTGTCTGAAGGTGGGTGGTAAAGGTGGGTGATCGTCCCATCGATTGGATGCGCTGTCGTCGACGGAAGAGAACGTCTGTCTTCAACCTCAAGCTGTTGAGTCAAGGGGCCAAGGTCTCAATCGCAAGCAAGTAAGGGAAGGGCCGATTGCAAGCGCTCTTGATGGAAGAGAGAGGAGAGGGGAGAGCTCTGTTTGTCAGAACGGAGGCGGGAAAGGTGGGCGATTATGTCAGATGTCAGATGTCAGATGTAGAAGTCAGAAGTCAGAAGTCAGAAGTGATGGCGAAGATCACAGAAATTTGTCAGAGCTGGCTGCACCTGACTGCAATTACGTCCACACACACAAGTTGACAAATTTCTGTGACAAAATGTCAGAAGATTCTGGAACTCGGGGAAGCTATGTTCACGTCAGGAGAGTTGCAAAAGTGAAATCATCAGCATCCTACAGGATTCGAACGTGCGACCTTCCAACTTAGAAGAGGTTATTGTGCTATCCACGCCGATTCCACGGTAATCCACCTGAGCTAAGAATGCAACTCAGCCGATAGAGTCGACGCAACGCAGCCGGCACAACAGAACACTGGGACGGCGAGACGAGACGACTCAGCTCTATTCAAATACCTTAAATACCTTTCTTTGCAGGGAATGACGTGGGCGCGTGTACCCTGTCGCTCGCTTTGCTTCATGTGGGAAACGTGTGGCACCAGGATCATTGTCAAGTCCGGTCGATTGTGAACATGGTGGGTTCGTCGAAGGAGCTCGGGTTGGCGTATGCACAGACAGCACACTTGGGAGTGTGAAAAGGGTAAAAGGGGGGGGGGGGTACCTGGGCATGAGGTTGGAAATTGCATCACGCCACCGTAATCGATTGAAATGTCATTGCAATGCAGAAGTGGCGTGGGGTCTTGCATATGGACCAGATGCAGGCGTATATGTTGGGAACTTGGGGACGGGAATGTCGCAAGTTCGATGTGAAGTCGTCTCCTTACCACTTGACCAATTCCAAGTGGTGGTTTTTTTTTTTTTTTTTTTTTTTTTTTAAATAATTGTTTGGTTTTGTTTGTGAATTTGAGTAATTGAGAAGAAGCTGTGAAGTGGTCTGAGCGGCTCTCTCGGGCTATCGTTGAGGTGAGTGGTGTTATTGGGGCCTTGTGGACGTAGACAGAGTGCCCCCTCAAAAGTGTCTCTTGTATATTGCAACTCTATAAGGCCATACCTGAAAACTCGCAATTTTGCGGACGTATCTGGCCGTAATAATCAGCCAGATTCTGCTGAGAAAGTTTGCTAGTGCAACTTCATTGTCAGTGTTATCTAAAAGGTAGCTAGCTATAAGGTTTTGCAGAGTCCTTGTCCTTTCCAGCCATTAGATGAACTTAGATCTGAATTGTGAACTGCCTGTGTTTGGATTGAGCTTTTGAGTGTGTGTTTGTTTTGTTTTGTTTTGTTTTGTTTTGTTTTGTTTTGTTTTTTTTTTTTTTTT